GGGCAAGGAGCAGCTGTGAGTTTGGGATAAAAGGASGCTGCTGCCTCCAAAAGCTCGGGAGAGAAAACCCYGTGGGTGTGTGCCCCAGGGGACTCTCTCCCTTTGTTCAAATAAAGTTCCAGGGCTCCACTGTCTCCCTTACGACACTGGCTTTTTGTAGCAGGATTTTCCAGTCAGGTTTGGGGCTTTCTGTGGGCAGCAAAAATTTCCATATTTCAGTTTCCTGAAATGTTGCAGCTTTCTCGTGGTGGGAAGAGGGGAGGCAGGCACTGATCTCTTCTCACTGGTGACCTTACAGAGCCTGAGGGAATGGCTGAAGCTGTGTCAGGGAGGTTTGGGTTGGATATCAGGAAAAGTTCTTTCCCCAAAAGGTCACTGAGATCTGGAACAGCTCTCCAGGGAATTATCATGGTCCCAAGCCTGAGCTCAAGGAGAGTTTGGACAAYACAGGGTGGGATTGTTGGGGTTGTCCTGTGCAGGGCCAGGAGCTGGACTTGGATGATCTTTGTGGGTCCCTTCCAAGTCAGGATATTCTGATTCTCTGATTCTGCTGTAGGATTATCCTGGCTGTGTAGGAAACACCAGAATGGTGGGTCAYCACTCAAGTGTAGATTCTCTGTATAATTTTTGGAGGGGGTATTGAGGGTTGGAGTGGGAACTTCAGACAGTTTGTTAAATAAGCTCCATTGAGTCACGAGGTGCAGAAAAGGAAAGGATTCCTTTTCTTTCTAAACTCAGAGAAGAGTCTGGGGCAGCTGGATCCAGGTCTATCCCCAGACTTTGTCAACAATCTAAGTTTCGCAGCTTTGTCCCTCAGATTTTAATGATGGCAAATCAGATGTAGGTATATAAAAATGGATTATTTATTATGATTAATGATTTGACAAAAGCACTCAATCTGAATGATTTGTGACACAGCATAAAAGCTGAAACGACTCTTACATTTTCAGATGGGACAGTGCAYTATATCAAAGYAATATTAAAGCAATTATAATAAATTATGAAGCAATTATATTAAAGCTACCAAAACAAACAAATAACATCCTTAGAATCCATTGTTGCTCCATGGCTGTCCCTGTGGGCAGTGAATGAAGTTTTATCTCCATGTATTTATGGTTTGCTGGGGCCTATCAGCACCCACAGCCATCAGCCYTTCACAGAATCCATCTCCAGGACAGGAAGGAGATGTTCTGTGGTGCCARCAATTTCCCTCTGCATGTTTGATGTGCTCTTATGCATTTCTGTCTCCAGCAACAATGGAATAAATGTAAATGTAGCTGCTCCACCTCTTTCTGCTTAAACCCCAGATCCTGCAGCTCAGTGTTCTGCTCAAAGTACTCTCATTTTTACCTCTTTTTGGATAAGAAAACTGCAATAAATATTAGAGCAGCTGTGAAAAAGACAAGGAATGAGTTATTCTGAGCTATCTAGCTTAACTCTTGTCAATCCTACTTGACCACTCTTAAGTGCAAAAAWCTACTCCATTGCTGTGCAGTTGCCCTGTGCCAAAGGGGATGCTGAATGTAATGATGTTCAAAGCACTRCAGCAAAGGTATCTTTGATCTGTGCCTGAAAAACTCATTATTGTTCTCCCATTAGGGATCAGGTGAAAATGAAATAAGCCATATCTTGTTTTATAAGTGGAAATGCTGTTTCCTGCTGGAGCTAGGACACAAAGCTCTTGTCAGAGCYAGAAAAAAATCCTAGAAAAATCTTTGGGATTATGGGCAGGCAGGGTGAGGCAGAGAACTCCTTTCCTTGTTGGTGTTTGCTGTTGCTCTTGRGGTCTGGTTATTTTTCCGCTGCCTTGGTCGTTCATTGAGTCTCCAGGAAGCAGCAGAGGCAGAAGTTCAGCTCCTTCCCAGCATCCCCACAGAGAAGGAAAGCTGCCACGGCCACATCTGCTGCTTCCTGACCCTCTTTTTAAAAMTGGATAAATAAATTAGAGAGGTGATCGTTCACAGAACAAACCGTGAGCAGCTGGGGATTGCGGGTGTGCTGGACCGTGCTCCTCCAGCCAAGGAAACAGCCGTCACAGGGAACTCTTGGGCAGCACTTTGGCATCTTTTTATTTGTTTATTTTATTTAGTGCATTGTCTTCACGGTATTTATGCTCACAGAAATGSTCAGCAAGGGATGTTTCTCCTCCTAAGAGATGCCCTCGCTGGTTTTACTCTTCCAGGGCTGAGTTTTCAGAGTAGAGTTGTAACCAGGTGAATCTTTTACTGTGTTTATATTTTGGGTGCTTTGGTAGCTCCACAGATGGAGTATGAACTTATTGCTGTGCAGAGAACTCTTTTGAAAAGGAAATTTTATTCATCAGAGACACCCCTTTAATTAACTTCCACACTTCCATGGGGAGCAGAATATAAAGACAGATAATAATACTAATAATGCTACTACTGCTAATAATAAAAAACAACAACAGCGTATCTTGTTACCATTAGAAATTAAAATAAAATGCTGCAGGAAGCAGAGTTTTGAGAGGGCTTTTTAATTTTTTTTAATTAAGATCTTAATAGCATTTAATGTAAATTAAATATAATCATTGTCTGATTCCTGAGCACATCTCTGAGGCTGAAGAATAGGAAGTTAATTGTGCTGACAACATAGTGGGAAGTGCCAAAATCAAGAGCCAGCATGCTGGTTAAAGTGCTTTGAATTAAGAGGTGGAAGGCAGAACTTTTATTTTTTTGTACTCCTGCTCCCAGTTRTTTTGCAGCAGAGGAAAGTTCATGCCCAGCACGAATTTATTACGTAAGATATCTAACATAAAATTTACATTACAATGCAAATGAAGAAGACTTTATCTAACTTTAGAGATTGGGAAGGATCAGATGCATGAGCCTAACAAGCCATTTTACTTTGGGGATGGGGAATTACTGGTATGTAAATCCCTGAGTTGTTCTGTGGGCAGATAATTTAATGAGGTCTGCAAAATGGATGTCAACTCCAGCATCTTGCTTTCCATTAAGAGGAATTAGGTATGGAAATCTCAGTTTTGAATCTGCTGCTCATAGAATTCATGCATTTGGTGGCAAGATTAACTTGATTAAGAGATTGGGGATCAGGCTGACTGTTCACTCCTCAGTGTCATCAGTGTGACAGGATTCAATTCCCAGCTCCCTCTCTTGCAATGGCAGTGTGGAATTCCTGCCTGTGGTAGATATGACCTCTTCCACTTCAAATTAAATTGAATTGCTCAGCTGGTGTGGTGAGTCCTGGGATCATCAGTAAGTGAAGTGCATTTTGATGAATGAACACAGAAATTGTATCTTAATTTAGCTAAACAGATGTAATAACTCGTTACTGGATCTGTTTTTGCCTTCATATGGGATTATTTATCCTTCCTGCATGGTGCCAAGGGAGTCCATGCCTTCTGTGTGAGTATTCAGCCCTGACACACATCTGAATTACTGTTCTRCAACTGAGAGGTGTTATCTTCATGCTACACTAAGCTTTCRCTTGTAGCAACCTTTTATAAAATCAAGGGTACTTTTACTTACTGGGAGKGTGGGGAGGCCCTGRCACAGGTTGCCCAGAGAAGCTGTGGCTGCCCCATCCCTGGAAGTGYCCAAGAACCAGGTTGGGCAGGGTTTGGAGCAACCTGGGATGGTGGAAGGTGTYTCTGCCCATGGTAGGGTTTGGAGCAAGATGATCTTTAAGGTCCTTCCCAACTCAAGCCATCCTATGACTCCATAATCCTGTAGAGCTTTTCCAACTGAGCCATTCGCACAAAAGCATAAAAGTGAGAAAAAAAAAAAAACAAAACCTGCCAAACTTTGGATTAAGGCTCCAACAAGTGAGGCCTTGGTGTATTTGTAGTTAAGGTTGTGTTTGGTAGAAGCTGTTTGGGGACTGGCCTTGCTCCTCAGAGGAGGTGCCGGAAGAGTTAACCTAAGTCTCGAAAGAGCTGCTSTCCACCAGAACTGACAGAGAAGCAGGAAAGAGCTGAAGAGCCAGGACCAGCCATGGGTCTTCACGACAGAGGGACCATAAAAAGCCCCTTGACATTTTTTAATCAAAGAACCGCCCATTCACTCCAAATCTTGCAACCCAAAAAAAAAAAAAAAAAAAAAAAAAAAAAAAAAAAAAAAAAAAAAAAAAAAAAAAAAAAAAAATTAAAAAAAGCACTGACAAATGAGTCTTTTCAGTACAATTGTGGCTCATATATGTTCTCTAAAGGAGAAAAAACATCATTTTCTCCAGGTCTTTTTCAAGTATTTCTCAAGTTTTTTAACAAAATCTCATGGAAAATCACTTCTTTCTGACTAAAAGGATATGAAGTGCTCTGTGGAGAAGCTTAGAGGCTGAGAGTGCTCTGTTGACCTTATAAAACTTGAGAACTACTGGACTGAGCTGATAAATACCTTTGGGAAGCATTTGTGTCTCTTCCCCTTCGTTTGTGTGGTCCCAAAGAGCAAGGCCACTAACCAGTGCTTCCAAGGAATAATGGCACTGGAATTTGGGGTGTAAAGGGGAGGGACACCATGGCTGGAGGGGTGACTGGTGGTAAAGCAGCTCTGCACCTTCACATCCCCAGTGCTTTCCTGCAGATATTGTGTCATTTAGGGGTAGATGACCAGGGTAAGTAGATTTGTCCTGCTCAATTTCAAATTTCTCTCCTGTGTGCTGTGTTTTCCTGAGTGAGCCATCAGGCAGCTCTCCCTTTGCTGTACAACCCCTCTTTGAAAATTTGCAATGCCAACCATTTGTGATGGCCTTGTTCCCTGTCCATCCCCTGTTTTCACCTTATCACTCYCCTTTGAATGGTTCACAGGCATCATCTTTGTGCTGAGAACAGGAGGAATATTTTGGGCAGCTCTTTCTCAGTTTTCCTTCAAGACCCAGGACTCCTGTAGCCCTCCCGTGCCTCTGTGTGTGCTGCTTTGTGTTGTGTTGTGTTGTCTCGATTGCTCTGCAGCTTGATAAATTTCTCTGAGTGTCTCATTATGCAATTAATTTCAATTGCAATTCCCATCATCTCTCCTCTTCTGCAGGCATGCCACCCAGCAGGAGACTAATAAAACCATCACGACTAGCACCAAAGCCATCAGGCAGCTGTCTGAGATTGTCAGAGGCTCATCCAGGGTATGTGTCAGTCAAGATGCTGTTGGGGGAGAGTGATGGGTTATGTGGAAGGAGGAATAATGGAAATGAGAAGTGGCAGTGGGTGCTTTCAAGCTGTTAAGCTCYGTGTCTTGCTGTAACTTCCTCTCCTGTTACACAACGAGTGCAGTTTTCACTGAGAAATGRCCCAGAGGAAAAGAGCTACAGACACCAGTTCTCCTCCCAAAACTGGATAATGGGGGATTGGAARTCAAGAACTYRGGAATAAAGCCTTTGAGCAGTTCASATCTACCTCAGGGTCTCAGKTTGGGTGAAAATATTGCAGAAATCATCTGGCTTCACATGAGTTTGGCATTGGTTTAAGACCCAGCCATGGGTGCACTGGGTGCAGGTGAGTTTGGGAGTGTGTTAAGTGTCCAGAAAGGCCAAACCTGTGGAATTTATCTGGATATGACATTCATTCGGTGCTGTCTGCTAGGGCAGCTTTGGAGATGGATAAACATAGATTGGACAGATCAGAGCAGGATTTTAAATTAAAATTAACCCAACTCTGAACTACARTTTACCCCAGAAAATCCCATTTTTTTTATGAGCAGATTGGGCTGTCATCTGTAGGTTCAACTCAGGTGAACGTCAGTGTCACAGGGTATGAGTGATCCCCACCCCTTGTCTCCAGTGTAAAGACTGGACAAACAGAAGGTTTTTTACTTTCCTACAAAGWTTTTATACCCCAAATGCTGCTGCTGACTTTGGCCCATGATGTTCATCATGGGGAAGAGCACAAGCAAACTGTGGGGACCAGATTCCAGCTGGTGTGAGAGTTGAGGAGAAGTTTCACCTACTTAACAGGTGATGCAACAACTGAAGTGAAAATAAGGTCAATTCCACTGGATTTCTGTTACATTCTTGCTTCCAGAATCCATAGAATTTCTAAGTCAGGACCTTTCCTGAATTGATATTTTATTCTCACTCACTTCCTGCCATTTTCCAAAGTTGTGCATTACTTCAACTCTATTCTCACTGCCCTTCCATCTAGAAATAAGACTGCTCTAAGCMCACAACTCATCTTTGTCCAAGGGGTTTTTACAGCCTGGATTTATGGCACTTGCCAGCAGGCAGATGAGAGAAGGATTTAAAAGTTGGATCACCCCAGGCTGTCTTTGTAACCTGTGAAGGTCCATGTGCAATTAAACCTACCTAAAAAAAAAAAAAAAAAAAAAAACCACGAGTGATGGTCTACTCCAGAGGGTGGAAAGGGAAGTCTGGAATGACTGTTTCCATGTGTAGACATCAAACCTAATGCGAGGATAATTTTTTACATGTTGCTTTGATTAGTTATGGACAACAAGGACTGTTTTTTTTTTGTTTGTTTTTTTTTCATTTTATTGCATAATTACATCTGAGCTTGATTAAACAGAAGATGATGCCTTGGA